AATGCGCAGGTGGCGAACACACAGCACGAATCGATAGTTAACAATAACCATTTGTACGAGCTGTCCAAAGGTAGCTAACAATTTGGCCTAATACGGTCATTCATCATTTAAGCCAAATACCAAAAAGTTGGTAAACAAATGGCCCAAAACAGCAAAGCAGACCCAAAAATGGTTAAACTCAACTTACTTTTAAGGCAACTTTCAAAGCAAAAATGTGGCTAATGAATTTTCAAACGATTGGTAATCAAAACTTATCAATGACTGGAAATTTTTGTTGTTTTTTGTTTAATTTTTTTGCTTGTTGCTGCCCTAATTGCCAAGTTGGAAACGTTTTGTTTGTCTTGGCTAGCAGTAATGACTAAGCTCAACGAGATAACTCAAGCAGAAGGACAGGGCAGTGTGTTGATCTTATACCCAGTGAATTTCCAAACCAGTATCTATGAAACTTTTTCAACTTCTCTAGAAAAAAATAAAAATCAAAAATAACAAAAGGGAAAATGGTTTAAGCTGACCTTAAATTTTGTGAAACAATTGAAAAATCTATAAAAAACTGAGTGTTTTATTATCCATTGAAATTGAATAGACCCCTTATTGACAACATATTATTGGGTATTATGATTATTAAATGACTTGCTTCACACACACACACACACACGCAGATTACACGAATTTATAGAGTGCTCTTGTGGAACAGATTCCTCCTTGCCACGTTCCACCTCTCAATTGGAATAACAACAACTGACTTCAGTTGGCTGCCTTGTCTAATTGCATTATCTCAAATGTGGGCGTCGCACACTGACTCAATTATATACGGCTGGATATATATATATATATATATATATGTATATACATAGGAGTGCTTATCGGGCAGTGCTTTGCAGCAATTTATCTGAGCGAGTTAATAAGATTTTGTTGGAGAAACGGCAAATACAAAAATAGCATATCTTATTAGATTAGAATGCGGCACAAGCGGAAATCAAAGTACGAAAAATACAACAACAAAAAATACAAAAATGAAACAAATTATTCGACTATTGAGATGATGAGCATATTGTTCTAGAGAGACTTAAGGTGAACAGCTTTTCAGCAAATAGTTCCCATAAGGTTGCGAGTGAACTGTGAACTGCAAACTCATCAATTTCATGCGAATCCCTTAAGATTCCAGCTGGCCAAGGGATGAAAAGAGGCAGCGTTGCTTGCTTTTGTGGCACTTTGCAACACTGCTGCGCGCTAACCTAGCCCAAGACAAAAAGGAGCTGAACTGAAGCAACAAGAGCCATCAATTTGATTGCATACTATTAAAAATAAGTTGAGCAACTTGCGAAATATATATTTATTTCTAGTGCAGAGAAAAAACAGAAAACAGAAGACACATACACAAACACACATATACAAATACACACACACACACACAGAGAGACACACACACACAGAGAGACACACACACACTGACAGCACTCAACTCGCGTCGCATCTCTGACGAAAGCGCAGCGAAAGAGGGAAAAAAAAGGTGGACGACCTCAGGATGCAGATGCGGTCAACGAGAGCGAGACACACACACAGACACACACACACAAGCACAAACTCAAATAGATAGCTGTAAACATGTGTTTAGGCCACAATTTGTTTTAAGCAACTCAATGCACTTTTTACTATTATTTAAAAGTTTAATGCACAAACTTTAACGTGCACACAACGTAAAATTAGCCACAGTCTGCTGAGCTGCTATTTTTTCCCCATTACTTTGGTCCTGTTACTTTTTTTTTTTTACCGTAGCAGCAAAACAAAGCCAGAGAGAGAGAGAGAGAGAGAGAGGCAAACGCAGCGAGAGAGCGCAACGAATAACAATGTGAAAAGGCAGGACGCAAAAAAGGATATGGCAACTAATGAGAGAACGCTCGCTTGAGAGAGAGCGAGCGAACGAGAGAGAGAGAGAGAGAGAGAGAGAGAGGGAGAGGTTCGCCCAATGGTAGGCAACAATTTGATGCTTCCTCCGCCACACAAGCCACTTGGCCGACGCTGCGTATGCGTAATGTGTGAGCAACGCAGCACAGCACAGGCGGCGAATACCCAACCAAAAATGGAATGACGGAAAATTAAAGTTATTCACTCGCTCGCCAGCTTGCTCGCTGCAACACACACACACACACACACACACAGCTCAACAAATAAACCCCGAAAAATAAAAAACAAATAAAAAACCAAGACGCTGCTCAACCGGAAACCACCCAAAAAGCCAAGCAAACCACAGCAGCAACTACTTCTACACACACACACACACACACACACACACACACATGCAAATTAGAAATGCTTTTGCGTGCCTGCTTTGAATACGTCACACCCCAACCCAACCCAACCATCGTCTCCCTACCCCCTTCCCCCGCTCCCTTCGCTCATTTCTTGCTGTTGCATTTTTACACAGAAATTCCTTTTACACAAATATTTTTTTAGCATTGCGCTTTGTGCGCGTTTCGTCGAAAGCAAGCATTTCAAATGTACCGTTAGACGTTAGTCCTCGTCTGGTTTGTTTTTGTTTCGTTTTATTATTTCGTAGGGCTTTGGCAGTGGCGGGGGTGGGGGTGACGGTGGGTGTTACGGGGGGTTCGGTTGGCTAGGCTCAAAGCACTCTTGTTGCTGTTGACAAAACCGCAAAACACAATTTGTAATTGCATTCGTTGCAATTTCGCTGACGTTGCACCTATTTTTTTGTTCTTACTGTGAAATGCTGGTCTATTTTAAAATGGTATATTTTATGCGGAAAAAACGAGCAGGCAAATGTAGTTTAAGCATTAGACATAATTGTTCAACTGATTTCTAAGAAGTAATTATAAAAAGTCAACAAAATGCCATTCTAAAAAACAGAAGCAGAAAAAACCTGTACTAATATTTAGAGCCAAACAATTTGAAGGCTCTTTAAAAGCAGCTTCACCTTGAATTTATGCACAAACACAAGGCGGCGTCTGGCTAAATGACTTATAAAAATTGCAGCTATCAAATATTACATATTTTGACGTGTACAATTGTTGTTCAACGCACACACAGACACACACATGGGGTAGAAAGAGAGAGGGAGAGAGAGAGAGAGCGAGAGAGAGAGAGAGAGAAAGAGCGTCAGCGAGACAGACAAAGAGAGCGGGAGAGGGGGACGAGACAGCGAGAGTGCGACACTTCAGGAAAAAACAAAAAAAAAATATTACAAAAATAAAAACAAAACAAAACGTATAAAAGTAAACACAATTACGAATATTTGCGCATATTTTGCGTGTAAATATTTTTGTTGTTTTTTCTTCTTTTTTTTTGTAATTAATATTATTATTATTTATTTATTTAGTTTTTTTTTTTTTTTTTTTTGTATTGTTCTAACGCGACGAGAAAAACACGCGCTGCTCTAGCGGGCTGCGTTTTAATGTTAACTGAACATAGGAAATGACAGAGCCGACAGGCAGCAGAAACCGTTTGCCATAAAAATGCGACGCGACCAGTCGAATTCACTCAAAAGCCAACAACAAAAACGACGCAGTAGCAATGATAAAAAGTAACAGACGAGAGCGTAAGCACAAAGAGAATACGCTCTCGCTCTTCCTCCCTCCAGCAGTCTCTCACTCTCTCTCTCTCTTGACTGGCTCTCTCAGCGAAACAAGTGCAAAATAAACAAAAGCACAAAACGTGCGCGTCGCGAGAACGTTGACAACGGCGGCGACGGAGACGAGCAAAGAGCAGCGCGCAACAGCAAGCAGCACATGCCGGCTATTAAAGCTGCAGATATCGTCGCATCATCAAACAAGCAAAAATGGAAAAGAAAATAAAAAAAAAAACAAAGCAAACAAACACGAAGCGCTTCAAGCACACTAAATATTTTCATAGTCATCAAATATGCGAGCTGCTCATTATGCGAGAGCGAGCGAGCGAGAGAGAGAGAGACGGAGAGAGAGTGATGCCAGCAGAAGCGTTATTTGTTTACCGTTTAAATAGCCAACAATGTCTGCAACACCCACTCGCCCCCCCCCCCCCCTACCCCATTCCCCACCTCCTCGCTTTCTATTATCCCTACAACTATTTAAGAATTTGTTTGTGTTTTGTTTAACATTTTATCTGACTATTTGGCAAGCTGCCGCAAATGCTGACATTCTTTTTTTGGCAAAGCGAACACAAACACACATGCGTGTGTGTGTGTGCGTGAGGAGGCAAGGCGCCTGACTAACTGTTTTCCGGGCGTTAGCTGGCATCAAATTGGCTTAAAGCGCGTTTAATTTACGACTATTGTTGATGTTTTCGTAATTGAGTTTTGCCCGCCCAAACACTTAAAAGTAGGCAACGATATTTATCGCTTTGTGGCACAACCGCAAACTATGCAATGCTTTCTGCCACAATGCGTTTGACAAATTATGCTGATTTCATAGAACACTTGTTAAAAAAAATGAAAGTGATTAGTTTTATAAAAACAAATCAGTGGATTGAAAATATAATTATAATATAAATCGATTGATTGATTGACAGCATAAACTATGTATATCAATCAAATAGAAATAATATTGGTTAAGGGAATGCGCAAAGTTCTGAGCAGAATTTTACAACCATCGAAATTCCTGACAAAGTCTTGGAATAATGTTTCAGGCATTCTGTTTTTATTGAATTCAATTTTTCCAAACGCAATAAAGTCGCAGAATATTTTTGAAATTGCAGTTTTGGCATCGCAGGTTTGGTTTTTCTTCGAAACATATGCAGAAGCAATATGAAATTCGTCTGCTTTAAGCAATTCCATCGATTTGCTCTTCACAAATTGTTAACAAAAGCCAGGAAACTTCGCATCGATGTTGACAAACCAATTCATTTCGAGAAACTTCCCTTTCAATTGTTACATTTCAATTTACAGTAAATATAAGGCCCGACAATATATAGTTGGTCCATTTGCAAAAGGCAATAAATTTTAAGTACACTAATGTGAAAAACCCCCATTTTGCCAGCCCACTTTTAATTTAAATAATTCTCAAACTTACCGTTATTATTGCTGATGGCGAATCGCTGCTGCAACTGTTGAGCCAATGCCTGATGGTGCTGAGCGAGTGGGGTGAGCGGTGGGGGCTGTCCCTGCTGCTGCTGCTGCTGCTGCTGCGGCGGTTGCCCGACACCCAGCTGCTGCGGTGCCGACTGGGAGTGCGGGACTCCGCCGCTCATCGAGGATGTGTCCGAGGAGGCGCCATCCGAAATGAGGCAGCCATTGGCCATGGAATTCTGTTGATTGAGGCTGGCGCCGTTGAGCATGGAATTTGCATTGAACTGTTGCACGGATATGGAGCTGGGCACGCCACCCGACTGTTGCAGCTGCAACTGCTGCTGGGCGCTGCCATAAGTGGTGGCATTTATGGAATTGTTGGCTTGATTTATGGAATTACTATTGTGGACGGCTGAGTGTAGAGAGCCATTGGCATTAGCTCCGCTTGTATTATAGTACGACTCCTCGCCTGTCACGATAAATAATATAGAAAGTATTAATTTTTTAAATTAAGATGGACTAAATTAATTATTAAAAACTAGATATTCGTTAGAAATGTTAAATTTATTAAATTGGGAAATGAATTAAATGCACATATTATCTAAATATTATTTTTTTTATTAATTTATTTTTAAGTTATTTCACATTTTAAAAAATAACGCTTTTATTTTTTGCTGTGTCTACTTTCAGCCATTCATAAAAATGTGGCAAGCTTTAAGCACAGCTCTTTCATTCTTTCGTTCATTCAACTTTCTCGTCTAAAGCTTTCTCTAAAAACAAAAAGAAAAAACTTTCACCCCCAGATGGCGCCATCTGTTGTCTAGTGGCAGCGCCAAGCTTTGCCCAACTTGCCTGACTCAAGCAAATCCAACTTGAGGTAGGTTCGTTTCAGCAACCCCCCCACTGCCTCTCGCCATATCTATCTCTCTCTCTCTCTCTCTCTCTCTCTGCCCGTGCTTCTTCTGTCTCTTCTCATTGATTTTGAATGCGTTTCACGTGCGTTTTATCGTAGAAAGGCTTCGGCTCGCTGACGTCGCGCGTTGACAATTAGCCGTTGATTAATTACCATCACCGGAGAATGTTGCAATGTCGCGACATTGCCCCGTTGAGAGGCTAGAGTGTTTACTCCACTCTCCAGCTGTGTCAGCACCAACTGACTCGTCTCGTCATGTCTCAGGTGACACGGAAGGAAAACAGAGACCAAGTGTATTTCCCCCCCACTTGACCACTCTTTAGCCTTTCCCCGTTATTGAGGCAAACAATTTAGCAAAGTGCCAGCGAATGCTTAAACCTGGCATCAGCTGCGTGACTCTCGGGCTAAGCTCAACGGTTGACTTAGTCGTCGTCGACTAAATCGTGCGTGGATTATGGCCAATTTCCATCTGTTGACTCAATCGTTAGCCATCAAAGATATGCGTCTGTCCGTGTGTCTCTGTCTGTGTCTGTGCACGCCCTCCTGCGGGCAAAAGCTGAAGTTGCACAAACAGTTTGCCAACTAAGAAAAAAAGTTGGCTGCTTGTGTCAACAAATTGCACTGGGAAGTAGAATGTGGTTTATAGACAGGAGTGTAAATAATTCAGCATAAGCAATGTCAAACGAATGACAAGAATAAATATGAAAACATTTTCGGAGGCAGATGAAACTTTGGTTGTCAACTAACTATTTTGTTACTGCCACTGACTGCTGATGATTGACCAAATAACACTTTGAAAACAGCGAATAAGCAACTTTTACTCAGTTTATGTTTGATTTCCCTAACAATTACTTTACCTTATATATACTTGTTTGTTTGTATATATATTCTGTTTATGTTTATTGTGGACACTAAGCTGTTATACGAGATATATTAGATTAATTATTCAAACAAAGATTTAACATTGAACAAATAGACAAACAGCGATAAATATAAATGTAGAACTCTGAAGTCCTTTATCTAAAATGTATAAAACCCATCAGAGGTTCAACAAAAAGTTTAACTTGTTGACTCAATTGAGAGTCAAATCTGAGCAAATCTTAAACTTAAGAGAGATATTGACCCAACCTCTTCATCACACTTACCCGGCTCTGGTATGTTGCCCAGCGGACTCTCCGGCAGCAGAATGCCCTTTTGCACTAACTCATCGCGATTGGCACGTACAGAAATCTTGCGCTCCAGTGCTGTAAATACCATGACGACCATAAAAATATGCATATTTATGAAATATTCATTGAAATTGTAGTAGATAAAATGCTTTCGTCCACTTACATTTGGAGGCTGCTTCGAATTTTTCGCTCTTCTTTTTTCGGCGCCATTTCCACGGCTTGAAGAATCGTCCCAAAGCGCTCAATTTGCTTTTCCGCTCGAGGGGTGGGGTGCGGGTGCCGGAGCCCAAACTATTTGTGCGTATGGCTGCGCCATTTTGTTTCTTGGCTGCAAAAAGACAGACAGAGAGAGAGAGACAGTGAGTGAGTGAGAGAGAGAGAGAGAGAGATTAAATGTGTGCTAGAGTGAGCAAGAGCGCATTAGAGTCATATTAATTAGCTGGCAGCTGAAATTGTGTCAACGCCATTATGAATATGCAACGGTGCGCGGAAGCGGAAAAGAGGCCGCCAAATTGGGGCCTGCATACCACCTCACATACCCCATACCCCATATATTTGGTGGCATGCGGAATATTGCAATATTGCAGTTGCAGCTACATATTTGTGTTTGCTGCTGTTGTTGCCCATCGAAAGCAAAAATTGAAAAGCGAAAATTACAAAACAAAGCTTGCTGCTGTTGCTGTTTGTTGTTATATAATCAACAAACATCGACAACATTATCAATAACATCATGATCATCATTTGACAATTCAATTACGAATTCAAAACAGGTTTCTGTTGCAACAGCAACAGCAACAGCAACAACAACAAGAAAGTTAAGTGCCCGCGCACCAAAGAATTCTAAGCAAAATTGTCAGCAATCCAGCTTGCATACAAATAAACCAGCTAGTTGAGTTTTGTAGCCAGCCAAATGTAGTTGGCCAGCAAGCAAACTAGTAGGATGGGCGCAGCTCAAATAAACCTCCCTCGCCCAGCCCCCTTCCTCTTCCACTTCCCCTTAATCCCACTTCACCCCCTTAACCAATTTTTAGTCTTTGATATTTGTGCTTCATTTTTTTGATTAGTTTGCTTAGCCAATTGGGTAAAATCTCACATATGCAATGAGAGTGGGACGGGCGGGTGGCTGTATCTCATAGATGGATAGATGGAAGAGACAGTTAGCAAAAGACACAAACGAAAAAAGGAAAAAAAGAAAAACAAAACAAAGCAAAACATTCCATCTCAAAGTTGCCCCATTCGAGTGATGTTGCTGCTGTGGCAGCTGTGACTAGTTTGTTGTTGTTGTTGTGGACTCTGAGATGCTGCCTCCGATAAGCTGGGCACACACACACACACATACGTACCTAAACATACACCCACACAGTCTAGTCACACACACACACACACACAGCTTAGTATATGTTGCCATGGACAGCAATTCAAGCGTTGAAATTAGGCTACCTACAAATAGCTGGAGGAGAATTCCAAAACCAATCCAAATGGAGGGAAAAAAAAATGTCATGAAAAATAACAAATGACAAAATCAACAACCACTCAACGAAGTTCAGCTACGCTTACAATCTAAAAAACTGTGTAAAAAAAACACAAAAGATTTAGAATGAGATCAATAAAGAGTATTATAGACTCTGAGATCGTCAATATTAGCTCGCCTGCTGCTGCCGATCAAGAATATATACTTCCCACTGCTTCCCATTAATTGTTACATGCTTTTTCCTATTTATAATGGATTCACAGTGTAAATAAAGCTGACTAATCTAATATAATTATCACAATACACTGTGTCAATATAAATAAAATAACATTCAGGCTGTGGTCCAATTGCTTCATCTTTAAAGCGAAACCTTTCAAGTTCACTTTAGTTTTTAAGTGCAACACAACACTTTAATTAGTGTTGAAAAATAGCGTGGTTCAAAGCAGCACTTTTATTAACTCGAAATGAGATCAAAAGTTGGCAACCAACGTTTGAAAGTCTTTTAAGTCGCACTCTTACAGAGTATTTATAAATACCGCAAACTGTGGCAAATGGGCCAACAACTATTTGGCTTCCTTAACCACAGACCACTCCAACCCACCCCCCTCTCTCTTTATCTCTCTCTCTCTCTCTCTCTCTCTCTCTCTGAGTGAGACGCGTGGCCCTTCAGCTTCTGTTTGTGGCACAGTCGGACTGTGTGTGTGTGTGTGTCAAAGTTCTGTCCCAATTGTGGTCAATTGTTGAAGCAGCTTTTCATGCTTGATTTGCGTTGCATAACGGGGAGACGACACAGGGCAGAGATAAGGGAGCCCCACCGACTTAAAGAGCGCGCTGCAAAAACAAAAATGTGTGTCAAGCACGAAGGGAGAGGGTGAAGAGGGGATACAACATAGAAGTAGTAACACCACTGAGAAGTTGATGTTGCTGTTGCTGCTGCGGCTGCAGCCGTTGCTGTTGCACGTGAATGACATGCAATACAGCCCGAAGGCGACAACCGCAACGGAAATGATGCCTCATTTAAATGGCGCCATGGAAAATGTAAAAGAAAAATAAAAAATAAAATAAAGAAAAAAACAAAAAGAACAAGCCGACAAACTTTAGAGAAAAATCACAGCATGAGATTAAAGAAAAACTTTTTTAAAGCAACGAATTTTCACAAACGCAAAATATATGCAAAAATATATAAATAAAACACAACTCAGTCAGCGTCGCTGGCGACGTTGACGTCGACGTCGACGTCGGCTCCCACCATACATATATATAAATGATTTTTTTATTTTTACATATTGCGAGAAACCGGTTTTGGATTTTCGGAGGCACAGCTGCTGCTGCTGCTGCCGCTGCTGCTGCTGCTGCTGCTGCTGCTCCACGTTTGAATGGATGCAGCATACTCTAAAGATTTGGCTTCAAAAAAAAAACAAAAAAAAACGACAAGGGCGGCAACAACAACAACAACGAACAACAACAAACAGCTACTAACAACAACAATAACAATGCTTGTAATATTTTTTATGCGAACGCGTGGAAAACGAGTTTTCGCGAAAGTTGTTTGTGGGTCCCATTGTTTTCATTTGTTGTTGTTTCTGTTGCTGTTGCTGTTGCTGTGACTCTAAAGTGTTGTTATTCTCGCTTGAATGCCCTCAGACAAAACAGCAAATTCAGCTGACAAATGCTAAATTTTAAAAATATTATTAGATAGCAAATAATGTGTGTAAAAAAAACAACATCAAAATGGAAAGTTGCTCAATTGAAGGGGGAAACGTTTCTAGAAAAATTGTGTATGAATTATGCAAACACACATGTGGCAAATAACATGGCATATAAATTATGAATAACAATATATTAACGTCTAAATGATGATTTGTGCTTGTTTTTTTTTTTATGTTTAAGTGCGAATATTTCTGTTTAATTATTCGCATAAATTTCATTGTTTGCGCAAGGAAAATATACAAGATTATTATCTATTCATTTAAATATGTATTAGAGTTAGATATGAATTCACAGAGAATTTTAAATGATCAATTAAAAAAGAAATGGTAGAAGCGGAGAAGGAAGGAAGGCTATCTTAGACACGTCGAAAATTAAAATACCCTTCCCGAACGGAGGCAACCTGCCGACTTCATTATACTCTTTTTAAACAAACGAAATATATAATATATAATATACTGGGCACTTTTAAAATGCGCTTGCTCTGTCATCAGCTTTTATTTCAATCAGTGCTGCTATCAGCTTTAACTTTATCATAACTTCCAGTTGCATGTCTCAAATCAATTACATCGCCCACTACAATATATATATATATATATATATGCGTATGTATGTAGTTATCTATAGCAGCTTATGTAAATTGACAATTGTCGTGTTCCACTTAAAGCACAGTCAAGTGCACATATGTCTTTGTATATATATACACATATTTACATAGATATAGCATTGCTGATAAACTAAGCCACGCAAATTGACAGTCAGAAGCCGCAGCAGCAACAACAATTTATATTTGCTAAACGTGACACAGAAATAATGTACAATAAATAATAATATATAATAGTTTGCGCTCTTGTCTTAGTTAAAATTTCTAATGCGTTGAAAAAAATGTCGACGGTCTGACAGAGTGTCAGTGAAAAATCCAACACAAAAATCAAATTAAAATGCATAACGAGGAAAAAATTAATTATAGCCAAAAAGCGAGGAAAAACCAAGCGAAGCAGAAAATTTAAATGTCTGCCAAGTGCAACACGTGACAAAGAAAGTGAGAAACAAAACAGAAATGAATATTATAAAATGTGCTCTATAAAAAATGTCTGATTTTGAGTTTGTTGCTTTCTTTTTGGTATTGGTTTTTGGTGAGCTTTCAAAAATAAACTGAAATTATATTTGAAGGTTGCAAGCGCCGGTAATTGGTGCCTAATAACACTAAAATCAACTATGCGATTACTGAGCTAATTTGCTGTGCCTGTCAGTCGATTTTGATTGCGGTGTATGAAACCCGAAATTAATTGTAATTACGCGCCTTGCGAAAAACACAGATAAAAATGCTGGCAATGTGTGGATTCAACCCCCTCCCTCCCCCACCAACAATTGAGGGGTAGATAAAGAGAGGAAGAGGCAGAGATAGGCGGCACAGTCAATTTACGTTTGGGGCTGTGGCTGTCACGTATCTTGACAACGGCTCTTTTTTTTTGAGGAAAATGGGAAAATGAAAATGGAAAATCTCGCGACAGATTTTTTTCTTTTTTTTTTTTGGTTGTTTTGTCGCACGGCACATTTGCAAAAAGCGCAACAAAGCGTTCAGCATGCACGTTGCACAAAATTCAAATCACATTACGTATACGCAACGTTGATCAGGCAATACAAAACGTGCACGAATCATACATTGACAGCTCAAGGAGGGGCGTCACCAGGGGCAACAGCACTAGCAGTTACCACTGGAATATTAGATCAGTGAGTGTGTGGGCTTAAAGTGTGTGTGCGGCGATTGTGTGTCTGAATGACAGTTGCGGCACTGAAGCGCAGCATATCCATAGCCAATGTCAAAAAAAAGTACAAAAACAAAAATACGTAAAACAAGTGAGTAGAGGGAAAAGTTTTGAGGGGGCGAGGGAGGCTATCAGACAAATGCAGCTGCTTATGACTTTGCTATCGATAGTTGTTGACTTTGGGACGATGATGTGCACTCATAAAACTTACAAAATTATGGAGAAAAAAAAAAAAAAAAAAAATTCTCACAATGCTCGTTGAACTCCCTTCTTCAGTATTTATTTATTTTAGCTACATTATTTACAATTACTTTGTTAGTATTAATTTATATGTGTGTACAACATTTCAAATGAGTTATTATGCAAAATGGGCAAGTATTT